GTGTTAACATTGAAGAAGATCTTAGGAAGCAGGAACCCAACAGACATGTTAACAAAGGTGGTGACCATTGACAAACTGAAGTTGTGCTCAACTTCAGTTGGCCTGCTAGTAACAGACTAGGGAAGGCTGCTGCATTGATTAAAGTGTGAAGACAGATTGAAATCAGTCTTCAAGTGGGAGATTGTTGAAAAGTCAAAATAGGTGGCTGCCAATGAAATCAAATTTGGCAGGCCACCGAAAACAAATTTGGCAGAAATCAAATTTGGCTGCCAAAGAAATCAAAATTGGAGGCACCGAAATTTGGAGCGTTCACACTGCAATATTTGCTTATAAATAGCAAGCCCCTCCGTTCATTTGATAGATCCAACGAAAGCATAAACACTTGTAGGAAAATTGAGAGAGAGAGAGTGATTCTTAATTTTCTGGGTATAGTTGGGTCATGGGTTGTGAGTGGTTGTAAGTATTTTGAGAGATTGTGAGTGTTCTGTAAACACTATTTATATTTCCCTTTTTCAGTAAAATATCTACAGCAGCCCGGAGACGTAGGCAGAGTTGGCCGAACTCCGTTATCAATTTTGTGTGTGCTATTAGTCCACAATTATTTTTGCTCCATTCTCAAATCTGAAGTTACGGGAAAGATCAGCGTAATTTTTCCTAACACATTTGACTCAAAGGAGGGGAGGAGAGAGAAGAACTTAGAAATTTTGTTTGGTTGAAAGAAGAGAAGGGGAGGTAGCTCTTTTCTTGTTGGTTCACAAGGGGAACGGCGGAGAGGAATTTTATAAACCAATTTACTTTTGTATTCTCATAATTTTAAATTTAATAATGTAAATAAGGATATTTCGGATATTATATTAAAAATATTTTAAAATCTCTCTCCCCTTTCAAATCTACGTGATTTTGCTCTCCCCCTCTCCCTTCCTAAAAATTGAACCAAAAAAAAAAGTTTTTAAAAATCTCTCCCCTCCAATCAAACACTGTTATAGCAGTATATATTTTGAGATGTTTGCAAAGAACTGCTATGTTTGACTGATATGTTTTCTATATATGATAAACTTTTCTTTTTCCTTTTTCTATTTTCCACTGTAATTATATTTACATATAACATATGACTTGTTTAAGACTCAACAGTATTTCGCCTATAATGAGCAGGCAAAGGAAGATGGTGATAAACCTGGCCTTGAGGCTATGTTGCAAAAGGTGTTGCAGCTCTATGCTTCAAAAGTTCTCTCAAAACGTAGTTATGCCATGAAAGGTTTGTCTGTAGTCGATGTATTCTGCAGGAAATATTATGTCTAAACAGACGAGTATTTGCTTGTGAAATAACACCGCCAATCCGTGAAAGTGTTAGGTTGCTATTTTCTTTTTTATTTAATTCCTTTTCTTCTTTAAAGTTATGTGTATATTTACTTTATTGAATAGGAGAAAGATAGAGAATAGGAAATGTAGGAAAGTAACTTGAATAAATTAAGTTAAATAAAGGAATTTTCATTGTACTTGCTACGGTCAAACTATAGTTAAAATATATATTTTTTCTTTATATGGTTATGGTTGACAGTTTAGTTTTTTCACTCTCTTTTTCTCTTTCTTTGTATATGATCCTTTTGTGTGCAACAAATTTCGTCCCTTTTAGATGAGAATGGCCTTTCTGAAAACTTAGTCTCTCAGTCTCTCTTCTAAATGAAAAAGATTTGAGATAAAAACATATTGACTATTAATTGTGAGGCCCTAGAGGGGACACTAAAGGTTCTTCCCTTCCATCCGTTTGATAGATAGAAGGGAAGCGGGGAGGTAGCTTTTTTTCTTCATGTTGTCTAAAGAGTTGAAAGTTGAAGACTTTGGAATCAAATGGTTTTCGCCTAAATTAGACTGAGAGTATATGCATTGTAATTTTAGCAAGAGACAGGACTATGACTTCGAAGTTAAAATGGAAGATGACACACCATAAGTTTCTAAGTTTTAATACATGGGGTTAATCTTGTCAAATGATAGGGAAATTATTGAGAATGTCACACATAGAATAGAAGTGAAATGGCTAAAAAGGAGAAAGCTATTGAGAATTATTTGTGATCGCAAAATACCTACCAAACTCAAATGTAAGTTTATCTTACTATTATACCTCTGACTATATTCTGGTAGTGAACGTTGGGCTTTATAGGGACACAAAAGAAAAATAGGAGTAGTAGAAATAAAAATGTTAAGAAAGATCTGTGGCCACACAAGAAAGAACAAGATACGAAATGACTGTATATGAGGTGGTATTGATATGACCCTGATTAAGGAAAAGGTGACAAAAAGATCGATCAGGGTTGTTTGGAGTTTGGACATCCAAAGGTCACTCGAGACCAGTAAGGGAAGTAGATTGCATGGATTTTAGTCCCGTCCAAAGGAAGAGAAGAAGACCGAGATGGAAACTGGAGAAATTGCTTTGAGGGGTTTCATGTAAATAATATATTTGAAGATTTGGTCTTTAACAAAGTTAAATGGTGTTATATGGTCCATGAATCACCTAGTGGGATAAGGCTTTTGTTATTGTCAAAGTTAAACTGTGAAAATAAATGATTAGTGCCTAATTGGATTGATTGGTCATTTAGGAACCAGGATCAGGTCTACCGATCCATTAGGTTGCCTCCCACATAAGAGATTTTTTTTTGTTATTATAACCATTGAGCTGCCTTTTGATACACTGGAGTTGTAAAGTACGTTAACTATACAAATTCTAACTATTTTGATTTTTCATCAACAAATCAAAGTTCTGTTTTCAATGCTCTTCAAATAAATAGTTTTGCATTTCAATAATCTAATTTTTAGTTTCAGAATATGTTAATATAAAATCACAACAGACATAAAATTGAACGGTCATGATTGATTTATAAATAGTGCAATTAGTTTAGTTCTTTTCTATCATGGTGTATAGAAAATAAAGTCGTGGACATCTTTTCAGCTTATCATTGTCTTCTTGCTTGTCAACATATCCTTACAGGTTGGCACAAATATAGAACTTTTATGCTTAATCTGGATGATTTGTGTTCTTGCAGGGAAGGAAGTTTTGAAGGATGAACAATTCCTTGAAACCATAATCCAAGGTGTCTTAATTCTCCAAATCTTTTATGTTATAGAAAAAATTCAATTGTAAACTTACTGTCAGAATTATGTCCCTGGTTCTTGAGAAAAATAGCTTCCTAATCGTGCGCCACCTTTTATCTCCAATGTTATATAAGTTTTGCTTCAATGATCAATCATATTGTTTATCCCTTGCAGCTCCTGAACAAGAATGGAACAATATTTTGATCAAAGGATTGACAATTGGTGGTGGGGATATTTCAGTAGAGGAGCTTTTCGCAGTCTTAAATAAACGAGTTGAACGCGTTTTGATTAGAACTGTGAGACAAAGCCATGTTTAATTTTTTTATGCATGTGGCTATAATTCATTCTCTGTCTTCTATATTACTGATTTTGTTCCTTTGATTTGTTCATGCTCTTTCTCTTGACCACATGCTGCTGAAAAACTAAGGAGGGAGGCTCTTACCAACAACGGATTCTGACAGAGTACCTGAAAGGCATCGAAACTAGGGCAGCGGAGATTGTTCAAGTGCTTCAGGGGAAACCACAATAGCATTTTCTTCGAACCTGAAATTGGCCTTAGCAGTTGGAATGTCATTAGCCAAAACAATGTTCTGCATAATGCTACAATACAAGTGGTTTGTTATTTGAAGAGAAGATCAAGCGAATACAGTGAGCTCGAGAAATACAGATGATCATATCTTCAAGCAGGTAGCAATACTCACATGGATCGACCAATTGGCCTTCAGAACAGTTTCTGGCTACTTTCAAATTCAGGTAGCTTTACACAACAGGTTAAGTAATATCTCCTCCCAAAAATTGAAAGAAAATATATAATTTATTGTAATATTGGAATCTAGCAAAATCATTAGTCTTTCTTACCGAGTCTCTTGGGGACCCTAGTTAAGGAGCCATTAATACATTTTATTAAATATTTTAATTATTTTTAAAAAAGTATACATTAATCATTTTGTGGTTTCATTTTTGTCAATGTTTTATTTTTTATTTCTTTTTGTTTCCCTAATCTTAGGCACTTGCAGCATTCCTCTTTATGTTTGTTTATTAGCATATGGAAATGTTCCTACAATAATACATTAATTGTTTCAAGTGAACTGCAATTTCTTTTATTTGTGCAGCATGAAATTTGAAACATGTAAAATATAACAAAATGTTGATGAAAAAGTACATCGTAAGAATTTTCAGCGCGCTTATTTTTCATTTGAGAATTACAGAGTATTCAGATCGAATTCACATGCATGATAAGACTCGTGGCAAAGAATTGTAGCTTACATATAAGGCATAAAATCCGTTAGAAATCAGTTATTATAAAAACCAACCTATCATAGTGTAAAACTACACGGTCAGTATATTACCTATTTTTCTTACAAATAATTAGAATAATAAATATTTAATTTATGTATAATATCACAATGTTTTTTGTAATAAAAATAAGTGAGTATAATTTTTTTATAATATATTTCTAGTTTTGGTTTATAAAACGATCCCTCAAAACTTGTAATAGCTAAATTTACAAATAAAATAAAATAAGAGTCTACAATTACAATCTATCTATATAAAAGTGTATTAAGTGAAAACTCTTATTGTCATGGGAAATGAGAATTATATATATATATATATATATATATATATATATATATATATTATTTGACCGGTTAATATTAAAAGATATAAGAACATGTTTTTTAAGTAGTAATATGATCACTAACTTTTATTCAAAAGTATAAATGTATGATATACTTTTAATCACGCTAATTATTTTAACAATTTTTGTTGTCGTGATTAACAGGTAATGTGACATTGAGACCACAACCACGGCTTTTAAAATACATAAATTAAGATCATTTTTGACTAAATTTTCATGAACCAAAACTACTAAAAATGCAAACACTAAGACCAATTTTGACCAAATATTCAGCCACTTGTACCATAACGAAAAAATAGGTGAAATAAAACTTATGCGGATAATATGCAATGAGTAGGTGCGACAATACGCATTTTTTTTTTCAAAACAAAATATTAATGCATCAGAAAAGTGTAAAACACTTGTAAAAAAAAAACTGTAAAATACTGCAAATTGTAAATCTTTTTCTCCCCTGTTTATTTGGATAATAATAATATATGAACATTTTTCAAATTCAAAGAGAAATGATGGATCAAAAAAATTTCAAGGGAAAATGACTATTTACACAAAAATTAATATACCCTTACCATGATTTCATTACATCTGTAACTATTTACTCAAAAGCTTATTTTAATTTCTGTTTTACTTAAACATTAAAATATGGTGCATTGCATAAGAATTTGGCCGGTGACTTGTAATCAACGGAACACCCCTCTCCTTCTGGTTTTGTTTTCTCAGCTGTTTGGTATGATTCCATCATATTAACAGCTTTGGTGTTCGTACCACCAGACTTGCTTCAATTTTAATCTCAACTACCTCTTGCTGCCCAGTCCCAATAATCCAACAATTCAATATTAACACGTCATTACAACCGATAAATATATATAAAAAACTTTTGCATTATCTTAGTGCTATTCTTGAATAAAATTAAAATTTTATCTCCATAATATATATTTATATTTAATATAATGTTGTTGAAATAAAACTTTAATTAGATTAGTCACTGTCGGTGGATACTCCAGGGACGAACCAAAAAAAAAAAAAAACTTTAATTCTAATCTAATAATATTTAAAACCGTATTTGTGATATTGTAATAGATTTTCGTCCTATATAAATTTCTATTTTGAGTCACTATTCAATTCAGTTATAAAAATTAATCATTGACCAGTTGACCTTTGTTTTACTATTTTAGTAACTGAAAAAATTGTCTAAATCGATAAATAAGTCTGCATTAGTCTTTTTTATCTTTTTCGAACCACTGGGACTGAGATAAACCAATTTATTTTAATAAAATAATTATTATATTTTTACGTGGGAGAATTTTTTAAAAAAATGCACATATTAATTCCCTGGAATTAACAGCTAATAAATAAATATGTAATAAATGGCTAAGCGCGAGTGTGTGTAATGGCACTGATGCAAATAACAATTAAGCATTGGAACGAAAGTTTTGATGAGCACGCAGTACGCTACACTACTTATAGAAATTTCATTCCGATCTCTCTCTCTTTCTCTCTCTCTGTGTCTCTCTCTCGTTATTCTTTTTCTTCGTAAATTAACATACTCACATAACCATAACCATAACCAGATCTCATCTGAAAAGAGAAGTGAATATTCTCGTTCTCTCTCTTCTCTCCATACATGCTCATCAGCACACACTTCTGTCGGTGAACTCCATTTCATAATTCCATTCAGATCTGAGGTAAATTCTTTCCACTTTTCAATTCCGCTTTCATTCAAAATCGACATAGTTACGAGACGCGATTTACTTTCTAATTGCTGAAAAATTGTGGAGCAATGTTGATTGTTGATTGTTGATTGCTAATTATTTATTATTTATACCGAAATTAGAATCGGAGGGAAACGTTTTTCGTGTTTCGGCATTGGAAATTGGAATTTGTAACGATTTCATTGGATCGTGCAGGGGCAGTGTTTGTGATTGAGGGAAGATGCTGACAAAGTTCGAGACCAAGAGTAATAGAGTGAAGGGACTCAGTTTCCACAGCAAGAGACCGTGGATCCTCGCGAGTCTTCACAGTGGCGTGATCCAGCTATGGGATTACCGAATGGGAACCCTAATTGACAGATTCGATGAGCACGATGGACCTGTCAGAGGTGTTCATTTCCATAATTCGCAGCCTCTCTTTGTCTCTGGAGGTACCTTGTTCACAATACTTCTCATTAAGTTTATGTATCTGTAATTTACTGTTTTGAATTATCCTTACACTGCTTATACTCTGATCTGATCCGTTAATTGTGTTGTGTATCCTGCCCTGTTGTTGGTCTGCGTGTATCTGAATGATGGCACTTGTTTATGTTCTACATCTGCATCTCTGGCAAAATGAGTTACATTGGACTCATCTAAACTTCACTAGAATCCGTCTTAAAGCTTTTCGTTTTACATATATTAGTGCGAGTAAGAAGCATTTCTTTGTTTAGATCTGTCATACTGAACAATGAAACTGGAACTATGTGTGTGATGGCTCGTATTCGGTTGTCCCACCAGCCAGGGAGGAATTTACTATATTAATATTAGTATTTAACACTTCTTTTATATATGTTGATTGTATTATTATTATATTATTATATCTTCACCTTTGTTCTTTGGTTGTCCCAGGTTGATGAAAGAAGATTATATCATGAGCAGTAAGAATGGGGGATTTGCATTATATGTTTAGTGTAATCAAAATGCTCTGGATCTGGAAACTAGTAACTAATATAAATCTAATTTCTTAAACAAAGTGGTGTTGCATGACATATGATTCTAATGGTTGGGATTTAATGTGATTTTTCAATAGTTACATTTGGTGCTTGGTTTGGGGGAGATTTTGATGTGTTATGTATATTGGTAATATTAATTATTGTGACATGTGGAAGGGGAGGATTTTACTTTAAACTATTTAGTAATTTACAGCTTATTGGTTATTATTTGTTTCTTGGGACAGGGGATGATTACAAGATTAAGGTTTGGAACTATAAGATGCATAGGTGTTTGTTCACTCTTCTAGGACACCTTGATTATATCCGTACTGTGCAATTTCATCATGAGAACCCGTGGATTGTGAGTGCCAGTGATGATCAGACCATTCGCATTTGGAACTGGCAGTCACGTACCTGTATATCTGTTTTAACTGGGCACAATCATTATGTCATGTGTGCTTCGTTCCACCCAAAAGAGGATATTGTTGTGTCAGCCTCCCTGGACCAGACTGTTCGTGTTTGGGATATTGGTTCTCTCAAAAGGAAGGCTGGGCCTCCTGCAGATGACATTCTACGATTGAGTCAGATGAACACAGATCTTTTTGGAGGTGTTGATGCAGTTGTTAAGTATGTATTAGAAGGTCATGACCGGGGTGTCAACTGGGCTGCTTTTCATCCTACACTGCCTCTCATTGTCTCAGGAGCTGATGACCGACAAGTGAAACTTTGGAGGATGAATGGTAAATTTGGAACATAATTACTTTATATTGTCCTGAAAAATAACTACCTAGGAATATCCACACCTTTCCATTTCATTTTCCAAAGCTAACCACCCTTTCATATTGATGCTATTCTGATTATTACAAATATTAATACAACAGTGTTTGGAGGAACTTGCATGTATTGTTGGTACTTGTTAGGAAACTTTTCATACAAGACAGTTCTTGAATGCATTAACTTTTAAGTATTTTGTTAACCAAACAAAGTTTAGAATTTTTAGTGACCTTCTCAATGTCCCTAATATTTCCCCCCCTGTTTTCAGACACTAAGGCATGGGAAGTGGATACTTTGAGAGGGCACATGAATAATGTTTCATGTGTTATGTTCCATGCCAAACAGGACATCATTGTTTCAAATTCTGAGGATAAAAGTATTCGAGTATGGGATGCCACAAAGCGGACTGGAATTCAAACTTTCCGCAGAGAGCATGATCGGTTTTGGATTCTTTCTACACATCCTGAAATGAATTTGTTGGCAGCTGGTCATGACAGTGGCATGATAGTCTTTAAGCTAGAGAGAGAAAGGCCCGCTTTTGCAGTTAGTGGTGATTCTTTATTCTACACAAAAGACCGATTCTTGCGTTTCTATGAATTTTCAACTCAGAGAGAGACACAAGTACTTACAATTCGACGACCTGGTTCTTCAAGTCTGAATCAAAGTCCCAAGACTCTTTCCTACAGCCCTTCCGAAAATGCAATTCTTCTCTGTTCAGATGTGGATGGGGGATCTTATGAGTTGTATTGCATATCGAAAGATGGGACAAAGGACAGTTTTGGTAGGGGTGATATGCAAGATCCAAAGAAAGGTCTTGGAGGGTCTGCAGTCTTTGTGGCTCGGAATAGGTT